CCAAGGGCGCCCCGCCCGGTTTCCGCAGCTCAACAAAGGCGCCGGCGGCTGACAGGCAGCAGCCTACGGCGGGCGCCGAGGATCAAACCAGCTCCGAAAGCGTTGCGGGATGCGAAGGAACTTACAGGAACTGCGGAAAGACACGGAGGCCTGTACAGGACCGCGGTGCGCTCACACACCAACGCCCCACTCGTTCGCACCGTCAGGGGCAGCGAGCTGAAAGCAACTCACACGGGGAACGAGCGTGAAGCGACGCGGGGATGGGGTGCTTCCAGAGGCTTAACACCGAACCCCTCCTGCGGAGCGCTGGTGAAGCTGCCTTGAGAACAACGACGCCCAACATGCAACGCGCCCCGCTGGGCGGGCCTCGTCCTCAGCACCCTACGGCGTGAGTGTGGCGCGGCCGCGCGTTGCATGATGGGAACTGTAGTCTTTTTTGGGGGGGAAAACACCACATCGGCAGCGACCGCGGCCGCGGGCTCCGGGAAGCGAGCGCCACCGCGTGCCAGGGGGCGGGCGAGCGGTGTGGGTGCGCGCGCGCGCGCTCTGCTTTGGTTAGCTGGTAGCGGCGGTCCCGTGGGTCGCGCGGCGGCGGGAGCGCGCGGGCAGTGGCTGTGACACTCTGGCGGTGTCGCCTCACGGGGGGCCTCGCTGCGCCTCGCACCCAAGGCGGCGGCGGCCCTGAGGAGAGCAGGCCCAGACGGGACGCCTGGGCGGGGCCCCTCTTCCCCCTCGCTGAGGAGAGCAGGCCCAGACGGGACGCCTGTGCGGGGCTTCTCTTTCTCCTTCGGTTTGGCTTCCCGGGGAGTGAGGATCCGCGCTGGCCACCGCCGTGCCAGCAGCCAGCAGTGACACGAGTCAGCCCCATGCGGACATTGATTGAACTGGATGATTTTAATCGTAGGCTAGAGAGGCCGGTAGCCATAATCACTTCACTGACCTGACGATAAAGTATGTAAAAGCCTGATTAGCTGTGAGTGTTGGGCTAGCGACAAAATTACCCACGCTAAATCTGCTTTGCGTGGATGTCAGCAAGTGGAGTTAGGTTGTGAGGTTGATACGGCATTATACATTAGCAGACTGCTTCATTGTGTGTGCTGAATGGGGTAAAGCTGTGCCAAACCCAAACTGCATCAATGAACGTCATGTAGCAATGAAGTTACATGGTTCATTTTGATACTATATTGCCACTTGTATCCTGCGGAAACATGATACCAAGTTTTTCAACCTTTTTTCCTAACTGCTGCGCTAGTGGTAGTGACTACTATCTCAGTGAAGTGCTCAATTCCTCAGACTGCTGATCTTCCAAAACTGTGCTTGCCAAAGCAGAATTAATATGGACAACTCATATAGTTCAAGTGGAACATGTGTTCACAACACTCTATGAAATGAAGTTTTCAGAGGCAATAACTGTCAGCTCCAGAGAGGGTTAAATGTTCTGCTATTACAAATTGGAATAATTTATTTAAAATCACTGGATCTACAAACATTTATGTCTGGTGAGTATATCTTCTGAACTCCTGCTGACAAGCACTGGGAAAAGACTGCGTTTGCAGTCAAGCTTTGTCAGGCTGCAATCCTGTTATGTATCATGAACAGGATGGTTGGTACTGTGCCGGGATAGCTCCCAGGAGAACTTCAATAGCTGCAGGAATCAGTGTTGATATTTGCTCCTCTGTAGTCTTCCATGTGAGTCAGGGTTCATACTATACCTTAAGAAAAATTAGAAAAACTAACTGTTCTCTAGATGGCTCCTGATCATTGCATAACCCCCATGCATTTCATAAGAGTATGGGTGTTACCATTCAGAGAAACTGTAAGTGAAACTGTCAAAGAAAGTTGTATGATGTGCAAGAGAAGGGGTTGCATTTTTCTTCAGAGGCGGAAATATGAAGATGATAGTAATGAACTTCCACAAACAGCTGTCATCTTTGAATTTATTTGCCAGAATTTTCTAATATCACTTACAATAATGTGTGCACCTAAGAACTGGAATATGTGGGTTTTTTTCTGTATTTTACATATGCTTCTTGTTTGGCCATAAAATATTAATTTTGTATTTGAAGCTTTCCAGTAATATTTTTCAAGTTTACATTTAAAATTATGAAGGTAGGAGCCAGGTATTTCACATTTGTAATGAATTTAGCCAATTGATTTTTGATAATTGATCTTCAACACTGAACTGTATTTCTTGGTCCTGAACCTACATATATTTGCTGAAGGTCATGTTATTATTTTTTACATTAGTCTTTCATTTTAGAACACAGTAACTACGATAGCTAATTTTTGCAGCACTGACACCCCCCTTTTTCTTTGTAAATGATAGCTATAGTTTTCAAATAGCTCTATCTGGGTCAGTTTAGCAGTGACACAAACATTGACAGAATGCTAACTCTATACAAAGACATTTGTGATTTTTTAGCAGTCATTGATCTCACAAGTAATAGCAGTTTAAATAATCTGATATGTTTTTCATCAGCTGGACAGCTCATGAGGTATATGGAGGGAGGACAGGTTTGAGAAAGCATGCTGTTTGTAGATGTTTACAAGTGAGTGTTTTCTTCTAGCCTCAGCTTCCTGGTGACAGTATCTTTTGGTATAGTGAACCCTAATTTTATAATGGTCTCTAAGAATGTGGAGAAGTTACACTGTGAGGGTGGACCCTTTCTATATCTAGGACCGGAAAAACAGCTTGTAGGGGATTTTATGCGCCCATCCTATGCATTGGGTCTAGGATGACCACAGCTTGGTTAAGATGTGAACACCAGCTTTAACAGTGATTGTGTACCCATATAAACAGAATTAGTGTATTACTGAGAAGTTATTTTGAGACATGTAAAGGAATGATAAAGATAAATGAGGTCTCTGCTGCAAATGGGCAGGAATCCAGACTAAACACAAGAAGATATCATTTGATTTAGAAGAGCCTCTACTTTTGTATTTTGGAGAACATTAGACTTCTGTGCTGCCTGAATCAGAAGAAGGGTAGATAGCAAAGGCAAGTGGCTTTGTCACCTCCTTGTGCTGCTGGAGAACAGTGATTTGCTCTGGAGCATGAGCCCAAGATCTATGCTGGAGAGGGTAGTTCCCTCCTCAAGTAACTGCCACTACTGTGCTGTCCTCTCTAGTAGTAAGAGAGACTGGGAAAAGGCAGCTGGCCTACCTTTCTCCATTAAGGCTCCATTTTAATTTTCTTTTTTTCTCATATTTCAAGAAAATTAAAAGTCCATCTTACAGACTTACCGGAATCGAAATAATCAGGAAGATCTCATCCCATAATATAACAATATAACTCTTCTCGTATCATTTGATAGTCTGTGCTTTTCCCTTAGAAAATTTGCTGCATTGCTAATATAGGTTTCTCTCTGTCCTTCTCCCCCCTTTCCTGTTCCTGCTAGATGGACTTATTTTTTTTCTGTTGTGTCAAAATAAGGTGATGGTGACTGATGGATCCTTTCTGAGATGAGAACACTTTTGCAATCTGGTAACCTTTGGCACAAAACACATACACTAGTGAATGGTCCAGCACTTAAGAGTGATTCACTACTAAGCATTATAGAAAATAGGTTTACCAGCTGAAAAATTTCAAGGCAAGTTCTCCTTCCTCAGTGTGTTCTGTGTACGGTACTCTCATTTTTTTCTATTATGTGGTTAAGAAGAGAGGAGATAATGGGAGCTTCTTAAGGAATCCTGTAATGCACCAAAACCTTCACTAGTTCTAACGGTTTTAAGACAGAGTATGAAAACTGCCAAGAGATCAACCAAAAGGAACTATTTTAAAGTATGTTGTATGCCAGGCTATATTCTACCCTCAGTTTGTGTGCCTATCTCCCATTAACCTTTATGGAAGTTTTCTGTATTTATCAAAGGGAGAATATGTTTGAATATTTGTTAAGATGATAACAGAGTTCCTTTTGTTTGTATTATTTAAGACAGAGTATGAAAACTGCCAAGAGATCAACCAAAAGGAACTATTTTAAAGTATGTTGTATGCCAGGCTATATTCTACCCTCAGTTTGTGTGCCTATCTCCCATTAACCTTTATGGAAGTTTTCTGTATTTATCAAAGGGAGAATATGTTTGAATATTTGTTAAGATGATAACAGAGTTCCTTTTGTTTGTATTATGTTAGCATTATTAGCCAAAAAGATAATAGAATAAATAAGGAGAGAGAAAGTGTTCACTTTTTTCAGGGGCTTTTTTTAACTTTTAATTACAAACTCAATTATTTTTCTGTATGTAAGCAAAAGGGGTATCTTATATAATCTTAAAGTATATTTTAGACTAGAATTAATATGAACAAAGGCACACTAAAATACTGTTTTACTAAAAGTGAATACACTTTTCATCCAGTGACATCAAATTATCTCATTCTAGAAATGTTAAATAATTACCTATATCAAGTACTTCATAATTATTTACAAATGAAATGAGAGTTAAAAAGACTAAGTGACAAGACCACAGGGATTAGAATTTAGGATTCCTAGGTTCCAGTCTTCTATTCTTAACACAAAGTAGTATTTATTCTTCTGAAACTGTTAACTGTAACAGTTAACTTTTCACGTTTTCACATTCTTTTGAGAATTAGTTGAGTCACTGACTCACAGCATCAGTCAGTTCTATTCAGTAAAGACTGGTGCCATGGAGTCATTTTACTGCTAACAGCAATGTAAATAAAGATAGAGTTTGTTCCTTTTTTGAGTCTTTAATAAGAAACTTGCTAATGTGTTGGAAGAAGGTCTGAAAAATTACATGGAATTAAACTATAGAGTAAACACATAAACTAACTTAAATAAATCTTTACTTTTAACGTAAGCTGCAAGGCAGTAGATAGTTGGAAATGTATTTATTACTAGCAGTACCCAAGCTCCTAGGCCGTGTTTATAAAACACCTGAGCAGAAAGGAGATGGCACAGTAAATCTCCTGTAACAGTTACTGCAGCCATCTGGTTTATAGTAAGCACCCCACTGGAACATATCACAGGTGGCAGAGCAAATGCAGTGAGAAGGTACAAGATAACAGGGATGTGTTCCATGTCCCAAACAAATCTATAGAGACTTGGTCCAAACTGGAAGTAGCCCTTCTTTGGCTGAATATTTACCAGAGTATGGTAGAGCTTCATCCTTCTTGTTCACAGAGGTAATGTGCTAACAGTGGTGTTTAAACCTTATATAATTCAGAATGTTTGTAAGGGGATTTCCTGTGGATCTTGCAACAGTTTTTATGCAAGAAAACTTCTATTTTGAAAATCTGGTTGGCTGTCAATGAAGACTGTTGCAGCTAAACTGTATTTGAATTTGATTCAGAATTTTGTTACGTTTCAAAAATGTTAAAATCGGTCACTGAGAATCTGCAAAATTTGTGTGCATTTCTATGAAAAAAAATAGAAAAAAGTTTAAAATTCAAACCACATATAATGTCAGTAAACATGATTTGGATAGCTAAACCCATCTACTTTGTAGTTTAGGGCTAATGTTAGTTTAATTTTATATACTCCAAACAAACAGGATTTCCTTTGTTTTGTTTATAGATTGGTTTTCTAGACAAACACATCATATTGTCTTAACCTGTTTGTAGTTTGTTTTGTTTTTTTTTAAATCAGGATAAATCTGATTTTTCTACTTTGCTTGAACAAAATTTGACCACATAAATATCCTGTTACTTAATCTATTTGACAAGTGTTTCAGATTATGTTTTCTTGTGAAATAGTCTGATCTGTGCAAGTAGTTTTTTTTTTTTAAAAAACATTTTGAACAAAAGTCATCTGTTTAGTGGCACATGGCACATCATTCAATGCCCTTGATTACATTAGTGGATCTGACAGAAGAAGAGAAAAAAATGCAAAAGGCCTTCTGTAAAAGCCTGTAAAGGCTTGTAGATGGAATCATGTGTGAATGTACATCTTTCCCATGACACATGATTGTAAGACTCAAGAAAACCATAAGACAATGAAATGCACACATTATATAATGTTAGGAAATTTAAACAACTGCTGATTTCAGTTTTTTAAAGGCTGAGAGAAGTATACAATTTCCTGCAAATAAGGTATATTTTGCTGGTTTGTATGTGTATAAGTGGATACTCTACCGCTGGCAAATTTTTATCCAATAAATGCTTTTAACCATAGGCGTCATCACCACAGGTCTTGATAGCTCTCTGTTCAGTTTTCTGTGGAGTCAAATCTGTCATTTCTGTCAGAAAAAGCTTTATAAGATATAAACCTGTTTGTCTCAGAGAAAGCAGTTTGTGCTTTTGTTTTGTTAAATTTGCTACTGGAAGCTATTCTATCTGGATATTTTTAACAGGAGATTCAAAAACTCTGGAATGCTATTCTATCTGGATATTTTCTACAGGAGATTAAACAGCTATTATATGTTAAAGGACACTGATTCTACTAAAGCAGGTTGGACTAGATCGCTGGACGTCCTTTCCAAGTCTGTCTTCCTATGGTGCTGTGAGTGCAGGAAGAAAAAAAACCTGATTTAATTCTTCTCATGCAGCACCTTCTTGTGAAACAGCAATCTGGAATCTTATGCAGCTTTAGTAGTTTACAATCAAACTTTGCTTCTCTGCAAAAAATAAACAATTTGAAAAAATTCAATTCTTCAACTACATCATATTTGCAGGAAAATATGTTTATAAAATTTAAATTTCATTTCATTATAATAAAATATTAAATATATGTTTTTAGCTGGCAAAGTCAATTTATTTTACAGGAAATAGAATATGTTCAGATATTCTTGAGAAAATCTACATGTATGATTTGACAGGTTTTGTTCTGCATTACATATACAAAGCAGTCTAACCTGTTTAATTTTTTATAGCAATATGACAAAAATTAAACAACATTATTTCTGTTAGTATTGTGTATGCTGGAAATGCTAGCAAACTTCTACACATATTTACAGATATGTGTGTAGGAGCAAAATGTACTTACAGCTGTTTTTAAAGTCGGTGGAAGTATGTGATATTTAACCAATACTCTCATTAATCAGGAAAATTATTTTTCATTTCACTATAGTTATAAAGTATTATATCTTTTCTTGCTATTCATTACCCTAAAGTTGGCTGCAGTTCAGGAGTGAGGAAAAAATCCATTATAGATGCTTGCTTAATTCATTGTATGTGTCCGCAGATGGTTACTGACCAACTGTTGAGATATATTTACAAGAGTCATTTAGAGTTCAAGATGAAGTAAAAAATACAGATCCTTTAGATTTTATAATTTTATGTTTATCATTTTTATGTTTACTGATAAATCAAGCTTTTTGTAGAATTTCTTTCTCTGAGAGAAAGAAGCTTGTAGCTAGTACATAGAACAATTCATCTTAAAAGGGACGATTTTCCCAGCTCTTGCCCTTGCTCTGGAATTGTGGGGGCAAGTGACTTAAGTCATGACTTTTTCACCTTGATATCAAAGGAGGAAAAGTGGTGTTTTGCCACCAGTAGTTTTTGCCACTGGTTCCTAGGTTACAGACCTGTCTTTTTTTTTTCTTAGTCTCAGTTTCTTAATATGTCAAGTTAACCATATTTATTTCAATAACAATATTTCTTACAGCTAAAGCTATGTGAATTGATATTTGAAAGGAAGCTTTTTGCATGTAAGACACCGTATATAATTTTGAGTGTTATTAAAATCCTACCTGCATAGCATAGATCATAACTTCTTTACTAACAAAGAAATCGACAACTGAATCATACCTGCATGATTTCTGAGCTTTTCCTCCTGCCATGTTTCATAAACTGACAGAGTTACCCTCATGACACAGGTATAAAGTAAGGGTGACAAATACTATCCAGAGTTTTACAGGAGTTAACTCAAAATCAGTCACAGATATTCAAGTGACAGTTAAAAATTGCCCTTCCAACTCCTATTTCCATGATCAACTCAGAAGAACGTACTATTTTTCTTAAATATCAAATAATATTTAGAAGTAAACACTTTAAATGACTGCAAATTCTAAATTTATGAAGTTAAAAGATGACGTCTGTAGGGTGGAAATTTCTATGGGCCCTTGTTTGAACTCCTGAAATGTACTAAAGCAAATTTCATATTTATCTCCATTGAGAAGGCAAATTACTTTTCATAGAAAAGGATCAAAAGCATCAGAGTGGATATGGTATGTTAATAATAGGAGGTGGGACAGTGAGGGTAGAAGAACTGATGGGACACTTACGGTTCAAGGAATTCAGCACTTTTCATTTATGCTGGAAAAAATGTAAATGATGTCACCGTTGCCTCCTAGTGCAAAGTTATCAGACAGACATCACTAAATGATATCTCTGACATTAAAATGACTGGAATGTTATTTCCTTCTATTTCTTTTCTTTTGGAAATCTTACAATATCTTACTGCAAATGAAACAAAAATCCACATATAATGGTGTAAGAAACAAAGATCTGTCTGGAGTCTCAACACTGGATTATTGCTGTTCTATCTCAAAGCTAATTGAAATCCATGATGTTTGCATCAAAGCTGTAATGAGGCACTGACAAATACCTTTCTGCCCCACTGGAAACATAATCTTTCTATTGAACATTTTGTCTTGGTAAGTTCCGTCTGCAGTAGGAATAGGCATTTTGCATTTGAATCAAGAAGGTCATTACTTTGGATCAGATGATACGGTGTACACTCCACTTGCCTTTAGATGAAATTGATCCTTTACTGTGTTGAACATAAGACTGTGAATTTTTTACACCTGATTATCTTATTGTTTCATCTGGATTAATTTGGAATGCTAACACTACCGCCACTTTTTGATCTTTGCATATATCAGTGTGACAGTTCTCTTAAAAGCCAGTTATTTCCTAGACAGTAATACATTTTAAATATTCAGTTGCATTTCTTTACTAAATAAAACAGAATAAGATCACAGTGTTTCATTTATTGATAATGTATTTGATCGTTTCATAGAACTGAATATTTGATAACATTTTCCTCACTTTTGCAGCAGTAAAGCAATAGTTCTATGTATAATTACTCAAACTTGTTTGAGTAAATTTATTGACTTCTAAATACCTAGAAACTAAACTATGTATTCAACGTTTTGGTTGTTTTACTCGTAAATAATCCCATTGACTTCAGTGAAGAGAGGCACCATAAAATGGAGTGGCAGTTGCAGTGTGTTCACTCATCTTCAATGTTAAAACTTTCATTACCTTTCTTTGCAAATGTGGCTTGGGTTTTTTTTTTAATATAAGGTAAATTATGCCAAGTGTATGTACAAAATCAGTATTTTTTTCCTTTTTTGTTTTGACATGAATATATGCTCTTAGCATTTTCACTTCACATCAAGTGTGTAGATTGTGCAAAAAAATTGGTAAAAGATCTCTAGCTATGGAAGGAATAATGTGAAAGTCATAAATAGCAGCTACTCTCTGCAGATATGAACCTGTTCTTATTTAAATCGATGGAAATTTCACTGCCGACTGCAGTGAATGCAGGATCAAGTCCTCAACTCTTTCTGAAAATCAATTAGATGCGTTCTTAATAGGCTTTCATGCCTTTGAAAATCTGTCTCTAAATTACTGTTGGAAACTAATCAATTAGATATTGGAGTTCATTTTATGAAAAAAATCTCCACAATTTTGTGTAAAATGAAAGGAAATGCTTTAATTCACTGGCTTTTTATTTATTCAAAAAGATTAAGCTATGTCTGGGATTGTCAAATCACCTTGTTTTATTTGCTGAAACATGTAGGACTCAACAGAATGCTGATATGACTCTGTGTATTTGAATTGTTTCTGCACTGTGAAGAATAGTGGTATACTAGGAAGCTGAGAGATGAGAAATTGCTATGGCAGGCATTGGACTGAAATACATTTTAAATAGACTTTTTATATGGTACTGTAGCAATTGAAATTCTGATTCAGTGTCTGCTAAGAAAATGTTGGAAATGCTTTTAGAAGTTTCTTAACCAATACTAAATTTGTCAGTTCAGTAATAGTGGATAACCCAAAATATAATCATTAAGGAAAACTAAACAATTTTTACTGTAAAAACTGTGGCTTATTCTGATTTGGATTTATTTTGAATCTTCCATTGTTCACAGGAGATTCAGTGATGGCTGAAGAGTACATGACACAAGCTGGCAGGTGGTACAGCATAAGGTTTGCATAAAGCTAATTTTTCCATTTCTCCCATCTTCATCTTCTGTCTTTCAGGCTCAATAATCTGTTTCCTTAAACTGCATTATTGTTAAATGTTATATTGACCATGAGATCATATAATGTCATGATAAATATTATGCTACACTGTGCTGTATTTACCTAGAGAACGGCATAGTCTTTTGAAATCTTAGCTAATTATATAGTTTGTATAGATTTAAAATTACAACGTTAACAACTATTTTATATGATTAAGATACATTTTAATTGAGATATTACAATACAATATATTTATGATTATATACATTACAATTATGTAATGTAGGTAATATATCAATACATGCATATAGTACATATATTAACTTATGCATAATTCATATAATAAAGATATTGATGTTGTTATTAGTTTTATTTAATAAATTGAGATAGTGAGTCAAGTCAAAAGATGCTCTAAATACCTATAACTTTAACAGAACCAGACAGGAGACAAACTTCAGGAGGAATTTCAAAACAAAAAATTTTTGAAAGTGGTGTTTAAGGAGTTATTATATATTACTTATTTATAATTAGGAGGGGAAAAAATAACAAATTTGAATGGAAATAAGGAACTATTGTAATTGGTAAATATTTAATAAAACCAACTGTCTATGTATATATTTGAAAGCCTGATCCTCAAAAACTATTGAATGCATTCTCTTTAAACTAAAAATGGTAAAAATGTGATTGTTAGTCTGAGAACAAGCATGACAAGTATTGGCCTAGAGGTAATTTTTTTGAAAAGTTATTTTAAACTAATGAAAAGAAGGTCATAGAATTTAAGTGCCATTTCAACCATATAAGTGTAATAAAATCAGCTAAGGCAGGAGTGCATTCTGGCAAGGATAAATAAGCATTGCAAAGCCTGATATGGCCAGTATGGAATACAGAAATGTATCCAAGTGAGTAAACATCAAATAAAGGATTATCCCTACTTGTGAAGAATCCATTCCAGCAAGAAATTGAACCATGGACTACTGCATCTGAAATTTGTAGGACTCCCTAGAGAGCTAAAAGGGAATCTCTAGATTCTGTCATCGGTACACCAAAGATCTCTGCACCGTAATGTAGTGCACAAAAGTACATGTTTCCCAGATTTCCCTTTTTAAAGGACTTCTTTCAGAATACTAATCAGACCTTGGTGTTCTGAGTTTTTACAAGTACAGCTAGGTTCTCTTTGCTGTTGCTTTGCATTTGAATGCAAGAAAGAAGTTCTGATTTTCTAAATGTTCTAAAATAAGAACAAAAATATTGTAATATTCTGAAATGGCTTGAAAGGCAAATAGAAGGTTCTAAAATGCTACCAAATATGCAAGCTTACAGTAACAACAGTAAAAGAGAAAGGATAAGCATTTAAGGAGAAATACGTTATTCCATATTGAGCTTGAAATGGAAAGAGACTATCCAAAGCAAATAACAAAAAGACAGCCAGATCTGTGAAACTAGGTGTCAGGAGACTGGGGAAGTGTGGATTTCTGAGGCCACAGAGTAAAGGTGTTAGCTATAAATCAGAACTGATTTTGTACTAAAGGACCTGCCAAAATGATGGTGCTAGAATATATTGATGCAGGAACATCCCACATGTATTGCATATGTCTCAAACAACTTCCGGAACACCACACTAGACAATTCCAGAGCAAAGAAATTATCCGTGGATAATGAGTTGAAGAGAGAAAAGATTTTTATATGCCTTTGTTAATATGGTATAGAAAATAGAAAGAACTGCTGAACAAGACAATGACAAATTGGATACTCTTAACAAGATTATTAACTGTGAGTCAGAGATGATGTTAATATGTATAATGCCTGCCACAAAAAAGCTTTTGTACTTGAAGCCTTGAGCGTAGTAATTTAAAACATATATATTTGAACAGTTGTCAAAGAGATAGGAGATAAGTAAGTGAGGATAAAATCATGAAATGACTATTTCTTTCAAAGTGACACTGATTTTTCATGACCAAGGGGTATTACTTTGGGGTTTAATTTTGTAGCTAAAATGAACACCAAGAACTATAATGACTTCAACAGTCAATTATGGATATTCAACCGTTCCACAAAAAAGTCCTAACACATCTCAAATAGACACACATAAATGGACACATGCAAATTCAACAGTCCCCTTGAACACTGTGGTCAAACAGCACAACTATCTTTTACTTGGATACCTGTTTTGTTTGGAAAAGGATCATGTTATGAGATTCTGACTCTGGACTCGAGAGGTAATGTGATCTGTAGAATCAATACTACAAAAGACTTTACAATTTTACTGGATTTTTTTTTTTAATTTTGTGTTTTGTATTTCTCCTGCCACACATTCAGATGGCAGGCTCACTATAGTGTGTTATACTTCTCATAAGATCAGGAAAGCTGTGATATAAATTTTTTTTATTTTAGAAACACAGTGTTGCGGTTTTTTCTTAAACACTATTCCCTGATTGACTTTGTCAATGTAAAAAGTGTGATTTTGTCCAAGTCATCCTTTCATTATCTTTTATTTGTAAGCCTTGTTTGCACTAAAAAGTATTTTTAACTGAATAAACTTCTAATTAAAACTTAACTCAGTTTTAATTGAATGAATGCAGATTCCATTCGCAGAATTCCCCAAGTTACTTTAAGATACGTCATTTTAACTTAGGATATAGTTTGCATAAACATTTCTTTCATTGATTGTCGTGGTTTAACCTCAGTCGACAACTGAGCACCATGCAGCCACTCACTCACTTCCCCCCTCCCCGGTGGGATGGGGGAGAGAATTGGAAGAGCACCGGTGAGAAAAACTCGTGGGTTGAGATAAAAACAGTTTAATAATTGAAAGGAAATGATAATAATAATACACAAAGCAAGTGATGCATAGTACAATTGCTCACCACCCGCCGACCGATACCCAG